TGAGTATAGAAAAATAACAATGTATGCTATTAGGTGACAGTGCAAACCCAAACAAGGGAGTAAGAAAATTTTAAAGTTGAAATTTTTGTATTAATCATATTGTACGACTTACAATCATACTATATGATTAGTTATATAGAGAATGGGTTTAATGGCTAATTGAATAATTAATTTTTGTGAACTAATCATACAGTATGATTAAGATCATACAATATGATTCATTATAATCGAAAAACCCTAACCCTATGATAAATTAAGATATTCAAAATTTGAATTTTTAACTAATCGTACTATATAATGTGATTCGTACTATATAAAAATTTTAAATCTTACCTAAATTTACTCCCATAATTAGTCAATCAAATAATGATTTAATTAATGATAGTCAATCATACTGTATGATTAATAAAGATGAAATTTGGTCATCCCAAAGATTATACCAAACAAAAATCATAATTTTTGGCATAATTGTATTATACAATGTTCACATCGTACAGGATGAATGACTAAAAATAAACTAACTGTACTATATGATGAGAGCAATATAGGAAGATTGATAAAGATGATTTTCAATTGTCGCAGGAATTGTCATGTACCAATAGAGAGAAAGTAAGAGATTGTATTAGATGATCTTATGATTGTACTATATGATGTGATCAAAAAGTTGAAGAGTTCATATGAACAATTGTTTGCATCATACTATATGGGTCTAGTTTTTTGAACTTATCATACTATACAAATTTCGATCATACTATATGAACAAAGATGGCCAACTTGAATTTTTAGAATTTCTTGAAACCTAATACTTAAGCAATGTTTGAAGTCACTACCTTATGGATCAAAGTTCATTGTATGGTTCTAATTCATTATATTGAGGGTAATGTTATCTCTAATACATCAAACTTTTATATGCTTAGTGATATTAAATATTGGATATTTCTCATTTCCTTATCCATTGCTCATATTTTATGTGAAGGAAATGTTGTTGCAAATTGTTTAGCTAGATTGGATTGTAATTTACATGATTTTACTGAGAATATTGAGCATTCTTTACCTGGCTTGTGCAAAGTTTTCATTAGGCTGGACCGTTCTAGCCTTCCATATATTCATCTCACCTAGCTATTATTTGTTTATGTTCTTGTTGGATGTCTATTTCTTCTCATAAATGTGGTTTTTTTTGTTGTCTTTATTGTTTCCTGGTTTATGTTGTTGAATTTTATCCTTGATTATTAATTATCATGGATGGTTATTCTTTGTATTGTTGTTATTTAATGAAGACTGTGTTGGTGCATATGGAATTGTTATTTGTGTTGGACTTGACATTTGATGTTATTGCTAATCTCTTTGTGGTGTTCTCTAGTTTTAGTTTTAGGTGATTTCTCATTTTGTCACTAGTATATTTGAACCTTTTGCTATGCCTATTTATTTGTGATGGCTATGTTATTGGATTTTATTATGGTATATTAGTTTTTCTGGGAGCTTGGGTCATGGAATTTTTTTTGCTTCAATTGCATTTCTACTATGTTGAAGCCTTTTGAGTTGCCCAGTCGGTTTTCTATTGTTTGGGTTGTATGTTCGTGGTTCCTTTAGGCTAATATTTATATAATATTTCATTGCTTAATGAACCTTCTTTGTTGTGTTGTTTTGGGTATGTTGGATATCCTAGTTTGGCTGTATTTTGAAAATAATGGTGGGATTTTTTATGCTATAATTGATTCCCAATCGGTTCAACTGTTATTTTTTTATGATTATCCCCTATTATTCAACCCGTTGTTTTTTAATTTTAACTGCGATGGTTGGCTACATTTAATCTATGATTATACTAATTTATTTTCTAATTTAATTCTTATATGCTACTCATATTTTTCCTTGAGGGGAGATATATGGATATTTTTTCTTGGCTTATGGTTATTCATATGGGGTTGTATTTGCACTCGGGTCATCTGTGTTTGTTATTTCTAGTATTCTTTTTATGGCTTGTGGTAATTCATTACTGGTGGTGTTTGTTCGAGGGTTAGTTGGGTTTGTTGTCTTTGGTGTGTTGTTAATTATGGCATGGTTTCAATGTTGAACAATCTCTGTTAAGGTGCTTTAGCTTTTTGAATTTATGTTATATCCTTAGGATTAATGATTGCTTACACTGGAGCTTCTGGGGAGGGTATAACTATTATAGTTTTACCATGATCCTTACCTCTTATGCTATGTCTTATATTTCAATGGGTTAGGGATCAAATTTGAGTGGCATTTAGGGTTTTTTCATGAAGGTTGCACAGATACTACATTCCAGAGCTTAGATGTTGATCTTCATCTTAGTTTTCTCGAGTTTTGATTTTGGTTTTGTGTTGTTGATCTGCATAGGATTTATATGTTGTGGGTGACATTGAGAAATGATTTTTATCTGTGATATGATGATGTTGGTTTTTCTCAGGTTTAATTATGAGCTACCCAATTTCTTGTGTTTTTCTTGCTTTTATTGTGTATCCCAATTTATTTTTAATTGACCTTGGCTATATGGGATTTAATAATTCTAATTTTATTATGGGGTTAATGTTTATCTCAATATCATATGGAGTTTGATTTAGTTTGTTATTTCTTATTATAATTATGTTGCTGACTTAGCTTTTAATCTGGTTATGTTATTATTTTATTTAGATGTCATATGATGCTCTATTACCTATTTTTATATCTTTTTTTGTTGAATAGGTGTTTTCTAATGAAGCTTTAGGCATCAATTTTTGTAGGAAGATTATGCTGAATGCTTATGATTGCATCTTTCTTTTTTGGGTGCGGGCTCCTAGTCACCCTAGATTGTTACTAGGTAATTTTGTGTTTGGAGTAGAGCGGACCATTGGCTCTCAGGTTTCTTTTTTATTTGTTTTATAGCTTGTTTGAGCATTAGTGAGCTGAAGAGCCCTTTTAAGGACCTTGTAATCTCATTTTTAATTAACTAATATGCCCCTCTATGGGTTGAGAAGAAGGAGAAGGAGAGGTTGAGCATAAGGGAGGAGTGTGAGGGAATCACACAGTTACAACTAGCTAGCTACACGCTTGGTCCTACTGTGGTCTTTGTGAGTTCTTAAAGGGTCTCTTAGGGGAGAGGCTTCGAAGTCAAGTGCTCGAGGTACTCTTCCTTCACCGGGAAGGAGAAAAAGATTGGAGGTACTCTAGCTTCTCCAAGAGGGAGAAAAAGATTGGAGGTATGCTTCCTTCTCCAGGAGGGAGAAAAGCTTTGGGTTTTCTACCATCTCCAAGAGGGAGAAAATTGATTCAAGGTCCGCTACCATCACAGGGAAGGTGATATAGCTTCCACCACTTCGCCACATTAGATTTGGTGAAAGTGAGTCTGTAAGGGCTTCTCCGCCTTGCTATGGGACCAAAAAATAGAGTCACTTAGTGCTAGTGCAATACCAAGAGCGGAGGACACAGGGAAGTGGGCGTAGGTCAAGGTTGACCAAATCACTATAAAATTTTTGGTGGGCTTTTTCTATTTTTTGTATTTTTATTTTCATAGAATTTTCTTTATTTGCAAGTTGAGTTTATTTGTTTCAATCTTATCAATCAAACGCATCGTGTTTAAACTTTTTTGCTACAAGAATATTTGTATGTGTTAAAAAAAATTCTTTTGTCATATAAATTTTTAATAAATTTCTTACCCATATTATTTTGAGTAATCTATCTGAATTAAGTTGTTTATGTTATTTTGTGGCTAAAAAAAAAAAGTATTCATGTGTAGGGGTTTTTTAAAATTATTAATTCAAACCCACCCCCTTGGTTTAATTAACAACCCACCAGTTCTATAAGTCACTAGTTCTATGAGGTTTAACAACCTTCTCGAACTTTCACATGTTTCAATTTCGTAAAGATTTTCACCAATGCCCAAAATTTATGAACAAATTGGTGTAATTAAATCACTATTGTATCTATATTATGACGAAGACAATTTATAATTTCGACTTATAATGACTCTTGAAAAAAACTATTTACTGGGTTAAAATTCGGATTATTATAACATGAATTCTATTTTTTTGTGTCTTATTAGGAGTCTAATTCTCATTTTAATTTAATAAAAAAAATATCATTTTTAATATTTTTTTAGCCAAGTCTTTTTAGGCCTACCTCTACCTATCTTAACATAGGCCAAATTCAATTCATCTGCTTTCCTAACTAGATTATTAAAAAATAAATAATTTTTGTATTCAATGCTACGCCAACCCTTTCATGTACATACACATTTCACATTTTATCTTTAAGAGTGAAGCCACTCATCCATGTGAGCCTTCTCATCCTTGTAACGCTTTACTTTATGCTTCTCTTTTACATCTCTAATGTAATAGTATAAGAAAAAAAAAAAAGAGAGAGGGAAAGGAGCCTATAGACTAAAACATGATTTTATACTTGTTTTTCCATCAAGAACCTTCATATCGGTTACTACAATTCATGTTTAACATAACAATAGTCTTCATTGGGCCACAAATATGAAACATAATTCCAATATCATTAAGCAATATATGTTAAGCATAACATCAATAATCATATATTAACATAACTTCAATATTCATTAGGCAAATGTTTGGACAAAAATATAAGAAAATATATTAGTTACAATTAACTTAATATGGAAAAAACATTGAATACAAAAATTATTTATTTTTTAAATTAATGCAGTACAAAATTTTAATATACGGTATTAATTTTTACATGAATTTAATAATTTTTAGGTGCATTTTTATCCGGGGTTTTTCAGGCAGTTTCAAACGTCTAGAAGAGCAATTTCGCCAACGGCAGCCGCGTCGTATCAGTCACCGCCGCCGCTCTTTACTAACCTCTACAACGACCAGTACGATTCGTGCTGTAGTTCATCAGACGGTTGGCATTTGTCCGACTAACCCATGCAAGACAAGTCTCTCGTGTCAACGGTACTCATTAGGTCATTGCGTGTTGCGACCGGAAGTGGCTACACCATTTAACCCGTAAGAACACCGTAACAGGTTTCTGTTTCGAATTTAGAATTTCGGTTTCTCCTTCGAGCTCCAAATTCTCGCTCTTCCCTCTGTTCTTCGCAGTCTCGACGGTGATGCGGGAGGAGGTTCGAACCAGATAACCGATTCATTTGCTGAATAGAAGCGGCGGAGGCGGACGAAGGAGACGTTGCGGAATTTGGAGTTATGGCGTACAGGTCCGACGAAGACTATGATTACTTGTTCAAGGTGGTGTTGATTGGGGACTCCGGAGTAGGTAAATCTAATCTCCTCTCTAGGTTTACGCGGAACGAGTTCAGCCTCGAGTCGAAATCGACCATTGGCGTGGAGTTCGCTACGAGGAGCATCCGCGTCGATGAGAAGGTCGTCAAGGCTCAGATTTGGGACACTGCTGGTCAGGAAAGGTATGATCGTTCGATCCATTCATATATCTTCAATGGAAACATCTTCTTTAGCTAATAATTTTTGTTCGTTTTTTAATATTTTGTGTCTGTGTGTGTGTGTGTGTTTTTAATTCTATGTTTTTCAGTACTGTGTGTTGGGTTCTGGGGTTAATTAGATCGGATTAAAACCAACCCCATCGTTTGAACTCTTCCTATGTTTTGGACACCGAAATTATATTGGGGCCTCCTCGAAGGGTCAGTTTTCCTTGCGCGGAGCTGGTAGATGGCTGAGTTTTGCCATTTTAGCCTGTATTTGGCTGTTGATTTGGTTTGAAATCGAGAACATTTATGCCTGTTTCTGCAATTGGATGGATGATATGGAGTGGCTCCTTGGGGGCCTGTTTCTCTCTTTTGCAAGCCTTTTTCTTTTATTTTCTAGGATTTTAATTGCTTGACCTCCGATCCTGTAAGCTGAGCTGGAACACAAATTTGATGCAGAATGGATTTAAATCTTGGATTCTGATCCTGTAAGCTGAGCTGGAGCACAAATTTGATGCAGAATGGATTTAAATCTAGGATTCTGATAATAATTTTGAAAGTCTGTATCAATTAAGAGTGTATTTAGGGGAAATATCTCATTTCTTTGCTTTTCATATCATTAACACATATTTGTTTGACTACTACTCTCTTGTTATTGTTTAGAAAATTTTATGATGGGAAGTTGTTTTTAAGAATAAAATTTGTGATAGCTGTAAGAAAGTTGTTGTCCTACTTTTTAAAAGAAGAATATTCACATTTGGCCTCATCATCTCTTATAATGCTACTTTTCCTATATCTTGGTCAATTCCAGTTAGGTCTGTAACAATACTAAAATCAAAAGAACAAGGGCTATGTGTATTGTGAATATTTTTCTTTTAAAAAGTGTGCTCCAGAAGCCCAAATTTGACCACTACATAAATGGATCACAAATTTCTGGAGCACAAATTTGGATTTTAGCAATTTACATCGGTTTAAGGCCAACAAGCTAAATGGATTTTTTGGCACATAAAATTTGTGATCCTGTAAGCTGAGCTGGAGCACAAATTTGGTTCAGAGTACGCATATATCTTGGTCAATTCCTATCTCACTATAACATTGTTGGCCTTATCCCGATGTAAATTGCTTTGTCTTCTGAGTGTTTTGATGAAATCAGCCATAATCTTATGCTCCAAGATGAATATACAAATAAATTTGTTGGCTCAAACTACATATTAATAGGTTGTTACAGACCTAAATGGATTTTTTGAAACAATTTTTTTACACTTCATAATAACTAGGGTGGATGTGTCATTCGGCACAATAAGTCATTCCTGTTAATATCATCCTGGATTTCACCACAAGCATGGATTAAATAATCATCTACATTGAAATCATGGATATTAGTTGTCATAGTTTTTTCTACTAGATGTTACCATTGATATAAAAGTTTATAATGGTTCAATCTTCATCAATATTGAAACACCTTTAATATCTGTGACAAGGATTATACAAGAGAAAATAGAAAGAAGTTAATGATTTTCTTATGCAATACACATCTTGTATTCCTTTCTTTATTATCAATCAAATATTTCTCTCTATTTTTTAACATAGGACATCTTAAGAGCTGGATAGTTGAATATCAGTGTATTTGGATTTTAGTATTGTTTTCAGTGCATAAGTTGCTTGAATACTCATCCGCACTGTTGTACTAGAAGTAAATATGCTCAGGTGTCACTAATTCCCATAAAAACTCCAGAAAGACATTTTATATCATTCGTATTTGGTGATTTTGGTGAAACCCATTGAGTTGAAGGAAAATTATCATGAGAGATAATAACATGGACAGATGTAGATTTACTTTAAAAGTTGCTTCTACTTTAAAGGGAAGATCTTCTATCCTTTTTTACTAGTCTTTGCTTCTCTCATTCTTGATGGATTCTCCTTTGCAAGTTGCTAATGTCTCCTTTCTAAATAACTAGCAATGGAGTAGATGTTAATGCTTGTGGTGTCATCTTAGTACTAAGAGTATCAATGACAGGATTGATAGCCATCATTATAATCATCTGATTGACCATCTATTCTTCTAGACTGAAGAAAACCTCTTCAATTATATGTAATCTCATTAATTGTTGTAGATCTTAGGCTTCATAAATTTACTAAGAGAATCCTTTCCAATCCTAACTTTGAAAATCTATCTTATAAGTTGGAACTAGTGCTCTAATTCCAAAGATGATTCGGAATTGAGATGCAAAAGATATGTAAAAGTAGTAAAATTTACTAAGCCAATGATTTAAGTTTTTTATAGAAAAAATTAGGGATAATGTAGCTAAGCATGGCTTACGCAAGAGTAGAGATAAAGAGAAAAAGTCGTCAACTTGCTTTGAAAATTATGCCGAGGGATCTTATACAATGTTTTAGATGGTGTGCTTTACAATGCAAGACTTGAGTAAAATCACCAATAACATCAATTTTAACCGGATTTTTCCAAAAGACCCAAATTTTGTTAGTCATATTCAAAATAGCATAGTTAAAACCCAAAAATTGAGATGTGTTTAACAACCTAGAAGCAGAAATAAGAGGCTCAAGCAGGATAAGAATAGAAATATTATGCACATGATATAAATTCTTAACACGAATTCTAGAAGACGGGCAACCAATGCCCCTCACATTCCAAATAACTATACTAAACATAAAGAAAAGCTTAATGTGAGTATTCGAGCGAGTGTTTCTAGGAGGTTGCAAAGAAATATGTTTTGGCTTCCTCCCTCTTTTACTATGAACTTTAATAAAACTAGTATCATTATCATCCATAGCAAAACATTTAGCAGCAATATGCATATCCTCAGTATCAGTAAAAGCATCGCTATTATAATTGGAAGTTGAAGGAGTCTTACTATCATTATGCTGATCGCTTAGGGTAGTAGGACATTCGTCCTCCATAAACATAACATCATCCTCTAAATTATCAGTAGCCCTCATAATAGGATCTTTAAAGCATTTAGAAAGCAGACAACAATCATAGAAACAAATTCACCTTCTTCTTAGGGCATATCATTCTTGTCACCTTCTATGACGACCAATTGAGTGTCATCATTAGCTCCCTTCACACAGTCCTGTAGATTTAAATGATTAGAAATCATAATATCATTGGAATCAGACACATTGTGATTAATAATGCAAGAGAGATGTCCATCATTAACATACTTTTGATTTTCAAAAGTAGGCAAAGTATGGGCCACATTCTTCTCACAATCAATAGTAGGGATATTTAAAGTGTTAAAAGCAACTCCCTGCTCATGAGTCAAAATGACAGCATTGGAAACAACATTGGCAACAGGTGGAAGAGGTTCCATCTCAGTACCCACCAACGGTTCCTCATTCTGTTGAGAGGGATTAGAGGTAATATCCAACAAAGGAACCGGAATAAGATAAGTAGCTTCATGATCCTCCACCCCATTTGTTTGTTTCAAAGAATTCTTAGCAGTACGAAGGTGAGGGTGTTTCCGAAAATAATCGTTCATAGCATGCCCATGCATTTTATAAAAAGAACAAAATATAGGTAAATTCTCAAACTCAACTTTTTGAAAATAACCCTTGACTTCGGACCCAATCCATATTTCACTAAGATGTTTCTTAGAAACATTCAATTCAACCAACAACCTAGCAACAAATGGCCTCGACACCGAAGCTGTAGCTTGGTCAGTTTGTAGAGGACGCCCGAAGACAGAAGCCATCCCAAGAAGAATTTGATGGTTAAAAAAATGCAATCTCAAATTAGGAAACGAAATCCAAACCGGAGCAATAGGAGATTCCTCCCTAACGTCAAAATCCGGAGTCCATTTCAGTAAACGCATTTGACACGCCTGAATATAATACGACCTTCTAGCAAATATGCGACTATAGTCAAGATCATTAGCAAGTTGGATAGCAACATGTCTTTGATCAAGTAAACCAACGTGAAACGATCTAGAGAGCTTTAGATTAACAAAAAACTTATGTATAACATCAAGATTCGACCTTCTCAACATAAATTTACCAACCAAAGTTAAAGCATAAGGAGCGGCTAACTGTTCAACCACCGAATCCTCAAAAAGAAGTGTCGGACAGCCCTTAAAAGACGAATGAACAAAATTAAGTTTTGGAGACGAAGAGGAAGAGCCCGCGAGAACATCTTTGAAAGATCATGTTTTCCCCTCAAAAAGAGAGAAAGAGTTCGGGTTCGATGAAGACTCCGTCGTCATCGCCTAGCACGAAAAAAACAAAGAAAACTCAAAATCAGCGCACGAAAAGGAAACAAGAGATAAAAACAACTGAGAACAATCGGAACAAGTGAAAAATCCAAGCCAAGAGGGCTAGAATCCACCGCAAACAGAAGAACCCTAAAATTGCCCAGAAATCGCCTCAGAGCAGAGCACAGAGAGATGTTGCTGATCATATATATATATATATATATATATATATGTGTGTGTGTGTTTGTATACATATGTTTGTATATATCATCAATTCTACTAAATGCAAGAATGTTGAAAATTTTATGCTAAATATTCTAACATTAATTCTAGTTATGGCTAATCATCCGCCCCCTTAATTCAAATTTATGGCCACTCCCTCTTAATTCAAATTTATAGTTGCAATTTTTGCAATTCAGTTCCTCTTAGATTCATATTTGTAAATTTATCCTTTGAAAGTTAATGCTATAATTTTTTCTCGAGAGCTTCATAGATCATAATGTTAACCCATTATATGGATTTTTTTTTTACCCACATAAGGGCCTATGTGTTAAATTAAAAAGAAAATTATAAGTCCTTAATTAAAGAATCATAGGTTCTCTAAAAATACAACATTTGAAGAAAAACCTACAAGCCATTGGTTCAACCTATTACAATAAGTAAACAAAAGAAAATAGAGCCAACAAAAACAATCAAAACCACCTATAACTAGCAAAGCCGAACAGGCAGTCCAGTAAAATGATACAAGAAGGCACAAGGACGCAACAGGAAGGA